TTCCGTCAGTGAAGGTCAAAATATTTATATGCCTCCCTAAGTCCCCTGAATTTAATTACCTTACAAATTCACTTTAGTGCCAAACTGTTCTCCAGTCCTAAACCTGTCTTAGTTTCTTGATTTGCATACCTATGTGTAAGGTACTCACAAGAAAAACTTTTAAGACCCACTGAAGTGAAAAATCTAACCACTGCACTGCCCACAAAGGTGGAAAATGGGCTCATTTTAAGTAAAAACACCATGATCATCATCCAGCCAAGTTCCATGAGAGCAGGGCTGAGTTTGCTTCACCGCCATATTCCTCACACCAAAAATGGTGCCTGGCCCATAGTAGGTGCTCACTAAATACTGTTGAATGAAGGACCTATGACAGATCCAGCTGGAAAAAAGAGGAAATGAGCAAGAATTTATTGCGCCAAGAACTGTTCTTCAGTGCCTAATGTGATCAGTCATTTAAATATGAAATCAATCCAGTATACACATGAAAAGTGACTATACATAGTTATATATAAATGTTGATATGAGTTATGAAGATAAGATTCCACATAGAATTCACTAACCTTTCCAATGTGAAAAAGAAAATGCACCCACATGTGAATGAAGTTAACATAATGAAGGAGATGAGGGAAGGGATGTTTACATACGAAACATTCCTCATTTCATATGGAGTCATTCAGTAAAACACAGTATCAACTGAAATTTTATCTGATTCCAGAGTGTGTACCCTAAGTCTGAGGTTTTTTATAGCACTTTCTACCCGTAAGTCAATCACCAAATCACGCAGAAAAACCGGCAACTGAGTAAATGTAGGGTTCTTTTTTTTTCCCCTGGCTTGGGGTTTTCCCTGTGCATAGTAACTTCTGAAAACGTTTCAAATGACAGTGTTCAGCCCAATTTTTTGTCAGACTAATGCCATGCACGCAATACAAATGTGTACTAGCAAACAGGTTCAAAGTTCAATCAAGAAACAAAAAAAGAAAACCCACCCCACACAAACGCCTCATCCCCTGCCTGCCTCCTGTAGGTTCACCATTTTCATGATGCATCCTGCTGTCCAGAACCCCAGACAGGAATGAGAATAGTTATAATGTTAAACTAGCAATCCTGATGAGGCTGGCTGCCAGGCACTGATCAGCCGCCTGTGTGCCCGGCACCGATTTACCTGTTTCTTACCTGTAGTATTGCTCTTAGTCCTGACAACCAATCAGAGAGGAAAGGGTTATTACTACTGCTTTCCCCATTTGCAGGTGAGGAAACATAGGCGCATGGAGATCGTGTCTTGTGCAGGATCAAGTAAGCAAAGGAGCCATGATTTAAACACTGTCTGGAGATCTTAAGAACCAGGACAGCACTACCTTTCTGGACTTTTATTCGCTTTATCTGACCAGCTTCTGACAAAAGCTCGTGCATAGTTTTCAAAAATAATTTTAGGGCGCCTGGGTGGCTCAGTTGGTTGAGTGACCGCCTTCGGCTCAGGTCATGGTCCTGGAGTCCCGGGATCGAGTCCCGCATCGGGCTCCCTGCTCGGCGGGGAGTCTGCTTCTCTCTCTGACCCTAACCCCTCTCATGCTCTCTGTCTCTCATTCTCTCTGTCTCAAATAAATAAATAAAATCTTTAAAAAAAATAATAATAATAATTTTAATGCTAATCAAATGTATACTCAAAAATATAACACCTTTCCTTTCAAAAGAGGGAAAATGTATGACAACTTTCCAAAGGAAGGAAAATAAATGATCTTTCTTGCCCACAAACATGGTAACTTAGTAAAACTCTGACCCAGTTTCAGCTGTGCTGTACACTGCTCTTTAGACACCACAGTTCCAAAAATAACTACCCTGGTGCTTAGGGTTAAAAAAAAGGTAACCTACAAGAGAATGCCACCTGATTCAATGTGTTAGCACCAAACCCTACATCAAAACAAGTCAAAAGGTGCTTCATCTATGGTCCAAGGATGATTGCAACAATCTTTCCACCACCCGAGAGTTCAACAGAGAAGCGAGCTCCACATCAAATGACACAGGTGTCCTGCCTCCTCCCCTAAGCTAGGTCCTCGCCTGGGACCCTGGACTTGTAAAAGATGACTATTACATTTTTAGGAATACTGCAGGCCAGTTATTAAGTTCAGCCATTACTGAAAATTCTACTTAAAATTTTAAAAATCGTATTAAAAACAAAGGTGCTGGGCGCCTGGGTGGCTGAGTCGTTAAGCGTCTGCCTTCAGCTCAGGTCATGATCCCAGGGTCCTGGGATCGAGCCCCGCACCGGGCTCCCTGCTCCTTCTCCCTCTCCCACTCCCCCTGCTTGTGTTCTCTCTCTCACTGTCTCTCTGTCAAATAAATAAATAAAATCTAAAAAACAAAAACAAAAACAAAGGTGATAACCACTCAAAGCTCATCACTTCCTCATTAGTTTACTTCATTTTACTATGATCTCTGCTCTTGAGATTATGTCTGTGGTCTGTGAGGCAGTGGAAATACTGTACAATGGTGGGTTCTAGCATATCTCCCCCCAACTCCACGGTCAGTGGCATCACCACATCTGCAGTCTGAAATGAGCCACGGTGGAAGTATTTATGGGAAACTGGCAAACTCTGCAAGTCAGGCTTTCCTTTCTTTGGAGAGCCAGGTATTAGACATTCAGCAGCATCCCCCCTGGTATTCATAATTCATCCCATCCCTTTCTGCTGCCATGTCTTCATCTCTCCTCTCTACAACTTATCTACACACACACACCCCCATCAAATTTAAAATATGAAAACAAAAACCTAACACACCTCCAGATAGCATCCTTTTCCACCATTCCTTCTTTCCTTCATCGATTTATTTATTTATCTGAGAGAGAGCGAGCACGTTCAGGGAGTGGGGCAGAGGGAGAGGGAGAATCCTGAAGCAGACTCCCCACTGAGTGGGGAGCCCGACGCGGGGCTCGATTTCTCGGCCCTGAGATCATGATCTGAGCCAAAACCAAGAGTCGGACGCTTAACCAGTTGAACCATCCAGGCACCCCTCCACCATTCCTTCATTGCCAAATTTACTGACAGTGCTCTTTCCTTGCTTAATTCCAATACTTTCTTCCCAGCAATTCATTAATTTAGTCATTTCACAAATATTTGAGCAAGTACAATTAACCAGACACTATACAAGTAACTGGGGGTACAAATGTGAGCAAAGTTCAACGTGGTCCCTCCTTCATGAGAGTCACATGTTGAAGCCATCTTGAAATCTCCAATATTCTACTAATTCCTCTTTTTTTCCTCCTCCTTGGCCTTTCTTTAAAAAATTTACAATTTCCCTAAAATGCCGTCTTTTCCTCCATGGCCCTCCATAAGAAAGTCAAGATTTCCAATGATAGGACTCTCTCTTATGTCTTTTCTTCCTTCCACAGGAATTTCATTTATTTCTGTGATTTCATCCTCCTCCTACTCTCAGAGAACCCATTTCTCCCCTAGCCTTCCCATCTCAGTAACTGGCACCACCATTCACCCAACTGTTGAAGCCCAAAACCCCCAAATCCTCATTTCCTGCCTTTCCCTTACCCCTCCCTTCATCCCAAGCATCAGCAAGTCCTGTGGGACCTATACCCAAAAGATGTCCCAACTCCAACATAGCATTTCATCCCAGTCCTTGTCACCCTTGGCCAAGACCTTTTTCTTCTCATTCAATCTGTATAAAATTCTCCGAACCCTCCTCCCTGCTTTATTCTTGCCCCCTTAATCAAGCACTACAAAGAAGCCAGTGAACATTTTAAAAAAGAAATGTGATCATTCCTCTCAACACTTAAAACAAACAAACAAGAAACCTCTAAAGTCTTCCCTCTTCACCCAGAATAAAATCCAAACTTCATTTCATGGCCAACAGGGCCCTTCATTATCTGGGCATGGCCACTCCCTGACCTCGCCTCTTCCAACTCCCACTTGCTCATTATCCCAAGTCTGGAACCTTCTGCCCAGATCTTGGCTGGTCTTTGCAGGACGAGCTCCTCCTGTCATTATAAGGATTCCGGAGGCCTTCCTCAACCAACCCAAATTTGGCCCAGCCAGGCCGGCCCATCACTCTTCATCACACCATCCATTCCTTGGTGGTTATTTAGTGTCTGTCTTCTTCTATTGCAAAAGAAGCTACATAAGAAAAAGGACCTTGTCCTCCTTACTTACCAGGACACCCCTGGTGCCTAGAACAGTGCCTGGCACATGACAGATATTCAAAAGCCATTTGTTGATGAATGAATGATGAACGGAGCAAGATCCAAAAACAGGCAAAAGTGGAAATAACTGGAAATTAAGACCCTGAAATGAGAGTCTTCAGGGACCACACAGAGAAATAAGAACTGCAATCTGAAGTGGTAAAGTGCTAATAGGATGAATCTAATTTTCATCTTTATTAAATTCTGACTTGCCCATGGTTCGAGTTATTTTAGAGGCAACCTAATTTAGGGAGGGCCTGTTCTGATGAATCTATGTTAATTTTCATAGCTGGGTCAAAATATTTTTTTAAAAGAAAGAAAACTACATGCTTCAGACAAGCTTGTCCTATAACCTCAAAAACATTTCTGAGAAGCAGAGTCCCCTGGGCTTCCTCCCATACTCGTGCTGTAATAAATTCCTGTCACACACGAAGGCGGGGGGGAGGGAGCAGGAGAACATAACACACACTCCTCCCCCATACTCCCAAGGTGCCTGCTCTCCAATGCAAGGTTCTTCCACCAGGGACACAGTCTAGTGTCTGTCCTTCTTAACTGCAGCTTCACAGACCCATACCTCACCCCGTGCTTCCAAATCAAGGCACACAGCAGGGCAGCTACTTGCTGCTTCTAGTGACTCCTTTCCTACCTAATCTAATTCAGGGAAAGGGAGGAATGAAGAGAAGGAGGAAGGAGGGAAACAGGGAGGGAGAGGGGCAGTCACGAAACACTCACTCAGTACTTTACTTCTCCTGCCCACCCACGCTACACCAGGTGGTGCTGGAGGGTGAAAATGGGCATGGGGAGCCCAGCTTAGTACCTCATCATGGACCACACAGCTCGAGGAGACACTGGGAATCCATTGCTCTTGGGTTCTGGTGGCGATGGGGAGTGGCAGCCACCCCAAGCTCCTCGGTGAGGAAATCGATGCTGCTTCCCATTCTCCCGGTGAGGGTGCACAGGCAGCGAGGGGGGCTGAGGGTTCGAAGGCTGCTGTGGGCCGCACTGATGGATGACCCCATTGCTCCTAATTGTGCACGTGGCATTGAGGGGAAAGAAAGTCAAACAGAATGACAAGGCTTGCAACAAGAAATAATAGTCCCCTGGCCCACTCCCAAGTCCTGTTCCCTGGAAGCAACCATTCTCAAGTCTTTTAGCTCTTTTGTTTCTGGTATGTATCACAATGTTTTAAAAATAACACAATTCTAACATTATTTTTTTATTTTAGAACTTAGCCTTACTACGCTAGAAGACTAGGTCTCAGTCCCTCTTACATGGTCACCAACACATACATACATGTGCGTGCACGTACGTGCACACAAACACACATACACACACACACACATTCACACACCCTCTTCTTCACCCCTCGTCCTCCAAATAGATTTCTTTCAAAATATTTGGTTGAAGTGGTATTCGGGATTTACACAGTTATGATCTTATAAAATACTGTTCATAGCTGATCTATCCAATGTACCTTGATTACATTTTCTTTCATTAATCCTCTGAGGTAGAATTCATAACCACCGAAGGGGCAAAAATTGAAACGTCTGATACTACGAAGTGATGCCCAAAATGTGGAGCAAAGCAAAGGGGATTCTCAGACGTTGTTGCAATCATTTCAAGAGCAATCCTTCAATATAGGACACAGTGAATGTGCATCTATCCGTGGTCCCAGCAACTCTACTTCTATGGTTATACCTGAGAGAAACCCACATGTATTTGCACATACACACACACAAAACCCACTGCAGCATAGTTGAAAATAGCAAAAAATGTACCAATAAACTAAATTCCAAATCCAGAAAAACAGATAAATTGTGATATTTAAATACTGTACAACAGTTAAACTGAATATATCCACAACGATGTACCTCAAAATCCCAATGTTAAATGAAAAGCTAGTGATACTATTGATATAAAGTTTGAAAATATGTTAAAAATATACTACTTGATATTCACTGGTAAATACATATTAAGTAATGGCATAAAAATAATCATAGAAATGAAAAGTGACGAATTCAGGACGGTGGTTACTCTCAGAGAAAGAGGTTAGGGACTGGGGTCAAGGAATGTTACTCTCTTCTCTGCATGTTGGAAATGATATACAAATTTTTAGAAAAGAAAGAAAAGTAAAAAGAAATTTAACTTTCGGGAGCTGATCTTTCACTGAAAATGTTTCTTCCTAATGGTGATGTCAAATCAAAGAAATCCCACTCCATTCCTGTGGCCCAATCTTAAAATTTGGGAATAAATTGTCCTTCGTGTAGAAGGGCTTCCAACATTCGTTTTTGTTACCATTTCTTTCCTGGTGCCTGAATCATATGATAAAAGACCTCAACAAAAACCTAATGCCAAGATGTTTATTCTAAATGAACAGATAAAGTGGGGTGGGAGGACAGCCCTAAGAGTTGGTGCAAAACTGTGTGTGTGTACATTATTCTGGGAAAGGGCACACAATTCCGTGAGATTTTCAAAAGGGTCACAACCCTCACGACACTCAGAACGTCTGAGCTGATCTCATGGTACAAATGTGAGCCCAGGCCTTGGGCAGCAGATGTCCTGGGAGGTCTCTAGGTCCCTGCTCTGTGTTCCGTCCACAGAGGCTGGGGTTACTCAGGGGGCAAGCCTGTGGCTCTGGAGTCACACAGACAGGGATCCAAATCCTGGCTCCCCCCGAAATTCGGTGACTCTGGAGAGGTCACTTTCTGTGATTCTGTTTTCTCCTCCATAAAATGAGGCTAACAGTTATTCTGAGCATTAAGTGACTTCATGCCTGCAAATGGCATGGCACAGTGCCTGGCATGTGGCCAGGACTCAAGAGATCTTAACCGTTATTGGCCAGCTCTCCCCGGCACATGCTCTCTGTCCCGACCGCTGTTCACAACTGTCATCAGTTACTTGTGTAATGACTTAGATAATGTCTGACTCCCCCACTACTGTATATGCCCCTGGAGGGAAGAAATCTTCTCTCTTGTTCTTGGCCAGGCACAGAATGAGTATGTGTTAAATGGGTGGATAGAAGGATGAAGGAAAGAACGAATGTCTCCACTTATGCAGAGCTGCGGCTGGTGAGAGCCAAAAGCGACTAAAAAGCAAAGCAGGGACTATGAACTGTGCAACTTCAGGGCTATGTATCAGCAGTATGATTCCTCCCATAGAACTTCCCGCGGTTTAGTATTTAGGAAGGCCAGGAACAGTTCTTAAAGAAATAAAAGAGACAATTATCCCCTTTGAAAAAAGCCTGGCTCAACAGCGACCAGATGAAGCAGAAAGGAGTATATAGTGGGCTGGAGAGTCCCGAGACCAGAGGACACATGACTTCATGGATGAGGTTAAAATCGCTCTGGAACTGGACCACAGGGGTCTGCAGTCAGTCGTCACATCCTTCTGCTGTCAGTGAGGCAAAGCAGAAAGGGCTTAGGACGCAGAGCTACAGAGGAGGCAAGAAGAAGTGGGAACAGGACGGGTTGCTAGGTCATCCTATAAAAAATAAGGCCGGCACCGCAATCCCTCCCATTGGTCAAGAGGATAGAGAGGCAAGGCATTCTTATAGAAGCCAAGGGGAGGTCCTCAGGCTCACAGCTTTCGTGGCATGAGCTTAGGTCAAAATGATAACCGAGCTCCTTCCTTTTACACGCCTCTGAGATTTACAGAGAGCCAATAGAGCACTAAAGTCTATTTAAATTATCTCTAAGCAGGCCCAGGCAGGAAGGTGATCAGAATGTAATGGCTCATCTCAGCTTGTTGCCACGCAGTAACGCTGCTCTTATCTTTATGTCAAGGAGTATAAAGAGGTAGGGAATGGGATAAAAAGGCAGGGTGTTTTTTAAAGCTAAAATTCTTCGTCGGATGAAGCAGAAGAACAAATCAACCACATTTTTTTAAAAGTTCAAAAGTAAGGGCCTTATAATTACCGAAAAATGGGGTCTGCATGGCCAATTGTTATGTGCTTAAACTCTTCAAGTGAAAATAGGCTACTAAGTAAACTTGACCTTTAATTTGGATATAACATGTATGGTTTAGAGTGGCCTTTTGTGGAATTCCAAACCAAGACTCCCAAATACTCTTAGGTAACAGCATCATCCCTAGAGCAAATAAGCAGACCCAACTTAGCAGTGCTTTTCGATGGGTAACGCTCATTTGAATGCAGGGATTCGAGGCAAGCTGTTAAGAAACAGTTACCCCCATCTGAAACCACTTCTCTTTGCGAATCAGGATTTCGCAAAACAATCCAGCAACATAAACTTAGCAATTAACATGGATACTTTCCAATTCCAAATTTGGGGCTCGCAAAATCTTTATAGTGCTCATTGATTTTTATAAAGTGTGAAGGGTTTGAAATACCTAACACATTTATCTTAACAAAACAAACCTTATTAATTTACGGTCTAAGACGAGGTTACGTTTAACAGAATGTTATACTTTTTTTTTTTACTGAAAGTTTGAAAGCTATTGACTTAAGTAATTCTTCTCTGCACATACATTGCTTGATATCCAAACTTGAAAATGACTTACGATTTCTCTTGCTTGTGGGATAGGGAAAACAGATCATAAACCAAGCACACTCCAAACACCGTGATGCCTGTCTCTTTCACCAGCATGGCGCAGGTCCCCAAAAACAAACTGAGCAGCAAGAAGAAGGGAGAAGTGGTGGGAGGGAAACATTCCCCAATATGATGCTGGTCCACACTCCTGGAAAACAAGATCAAGGCTCTTTTAACCTAAGAAGAAATGTGAGTCACTGAGAAATACTAACTTTTAAAAATTAGATTTAACAATCGATTTCATTGTATTCTAAATAAGCAGGTGAACAAATATTTCTTCACGAATATTCATCACAGAATTATTTAAAATTGCAAAGATGAGAAAAAGTGAATGCCCAACAACACTGAACTTGGTACTTAAATTAAGGTACATATAAATTATGGTAAAATAGGACATATAACAAATGGACACTAAAAAACCACTTAAAATGCTACCATAGAGATATAGTTAGTAGCATGGAAGGATGTTTAAGTGAATATATTTTAAGTGAATAATACAGATTACTAAGCTTATGCATGAACTCTGAAACCAGGTTCCCTGGGTTCCAATCACAGCTTTGCAGCTAACCGGGTATTATGGGGCAGGTTATTATACCTCTCTGTGCCTCAGTTCCCTCATGTATGAAATAGGATCACAGTGACTTACAGAATTAAATAAATGTAGGCAGAATTAAATAAATGACTTACTACATGCGAAGTGGTGATCATCATTATTGTTATTTTGGTGAAGGTGTTTCATATGCTTCTGTACATAAATCAGTCAGTGGATACAGATACATATACCGAAATATAATCCTCATTTCCTCTGTGATGAAAATACAGATGTTTTGGCCTTTTTCTTTTTGGGGGTTAATTGGTATTTTGAAGTTTATTTTCCAAGGGGATGTATTAGGTAAATTTTTTTTCTCAGTATAATTTCCAGGAGGGATTTTCAAAAATCTTCCCGAGCTATAAAGCCTTTTTTCAACTTACAACATAGAATCAGCCCACACCCAAAAACATCACTATTCCTTCAGTAAGTGTCACACCCATCTGCCCCTACTCCTCTGAAGTAAAGGCCAATATTTCTGTAGTTAGTAGGACACCTTAGTTGTATTATGTCTTGGAACAATGACCTAAAATTATATGCCAAATTTGCAGTGGATATACATTTTTTTCTGAAGCTGGTCTACAAGTTTCAATTGCTAAGAGTGAGAATGGCATGCACAGTAGAAACTGTAACCCATGGCTCATTGTCACATAGAGATAGATGGACACAACGCTGGCCTCACCATGTTCCCGAATGTACCATCCACACAGAAAAAGCCCAAGAGAATAAGTTTAAACCAAAAGGGAACTGTTAATCTTGTTCTAATACCAGAGTTAAACAGCAAAGAACTACCTGGTGAATTTGGGCTTCCATTGTTCAGAGTTTTCACAATACCATTTCCAATGACTGGCAATGCAGTGTTGAGTCACAAAGCCAGGCCTAGGAGACTAGTACTGGACACGTACCCCCCACTTTTCACAAGTTGACGTTACTTTAATGAAAGACCTACATGAGTCCCTATTTTCCGTAACAGGAAGAAATCCGAAGAGGAGTTCTGCTTTTATGAAAGAAGGTGAAAAGCAAAAACAGTGTTTAGTGTTTTTTCTGTGGGAGTGTTACGGAAGCGGTGTGCCCCCCAGGCAGCAGAGCGACCCTGCCAGTCGGCTCCATCCCCAGGGCCACACTCAGCATCTCAGCACCCAGCCTCCAGAGCTTTGAACTGTGTGAGCAACCGTGCTTCATCTCCATTTAGTCTGTTCATCCACTAGCGAGATGTGTCCGAAGGTATCAGAAAAAGCCCAAGAGAAGTTGTTTTTGGGGTCTTGGAATGCCCCCAATTTTTCCATATCAATTAATGACCACTGTTTCTTCAACTTGAGGCCATTTTAGCTTACAAAAGGTGTTCACAGAAACGCTCTACTTTCAGATAGCGGGGGAAATCTGTACTAAGAAAAGGCTCCACTCGTTAAACCAAAATTCCCTAAGAATTTATTCCTTTCATTCTTGGTCATCCAAGGTCTAAACTGGTTTATAACAGGGTTTCTCAGTCTGAGGACTACCGGCATTTTGGGGAAAATGGTGCTTTGTTGTAAGGGTTGTCCTGCACATTGTAGGACCCTTGGCCTCTACTTACCAAATGCCAGTAGCACCTTTCCACTTAACAACAAGCGAAAGTGTCTCCAAACATTCCCAAATGTCCCGAGGGGAAGACCATAACTGCCCCATAGTGAGAACCACTTGTTTAGAATTGTATTGCTCAGAGTCACTGGGCTCTGAAAGATGGCAGGTCAATTAACTCATCCAAAGATCAACATTCACAAATCCCTAGCCAGGTATCCCTCCATGAAGTAGGGTGACATGATTCACTGGCCCCCTTTCTTCTGGGCCACCCCCTGAGCCATCTACCCCACTCCCATTCTCTTTTTAACCTGCCCCTTTCCCTATGTGGATATGTCACAACTCAAGTGAGAATCTGAGCACTTTGGGGAGTAAGGGCAATATAATGGGAAATTATTTTATTGCTTTTCAGCATCCCAAAGTAAGGAACTTATGTATTTTGATTAAAGAATGTATAAATTAGAAAACCACAGTTAAGAAATACTACCTCCGATTCAGCCTTTGTTATTTTAAGCTCTGAACTACTTTAGTTAGGATAATAAAGAGGAAAAAAAATTAAGACCAAAATGAAAAAGGAGGCATTAAACAAATCATGGCCAAACAGAAGAGAGGACTTACACCCAATATATATTGGCTCGGAGCTTTCAAATTCCATTCTCAGTAAGAAATGACAAGTAAGAATAATCAAGAAGCCAGAGCTTCCCAACACTGGGAGAGCAGTTCCCTTTAAAAGGCGATGGCAAGGTTCAGAATGTGGATGGAAGAGAGAGCAGCCTTGCATTTGCTAAGGGGGGATTTTCTATGCTGGTCTCCACAAAGCTCTCTGGGCATTTTGCTGCCAAGAAGCCTCCCTCCTTTCTCAGATAGATGCTCAAAGTCTGCGCGTGCAGGACACATACATACACACACACACACACCACACCCCAGAAATTCCCCAGGGGAAAGCAGTATTGCAACCACAGAGAAGGGCATTCTTAGCCATACCTACCTATTGTAGGAGAGAAAGGCCAACAGAAAGAACAGGCATGCTAACACATCGGCTCTGCCAACAATTCCAGCCACCTAGAAAGTTTGAAAAAATAAAGACCTCAGAAAATGGCTTTCAGAAAATGGTTACAGAAATGCATTCGTTTTTAGATGAATGTAAAGTATGATAAAATGAGAAAACACATTGTTCTGCAAATCTGACATATGCCTAACCACCTCTGGTTATCATATATATAACAATAAGTTTATAGAAGGAGAAAAAGAGGAAGGAAGGGAAAATATTTTCATGCTTAATTTCATTTTTCACCATTCTTCTGGAGAAGGGCAATTCAGATCATCAAGGTTTATTCATTTACTGGTTTATTCAAAAATATTTTTTGAGCAATGACTGAGCACCAGACACTGCACCAGTCTTTGGTACCAGAGTGCTACTGGAGCAGAGGATATTTACAGAGGACTAGGAAAAAATAAGTTTAGGAAATGATAATCCTGGTAAAAATAGGAATGAGTATGAACTCATGATCACCATGTGAGCACATGTACATGCGTGCATGTGTGTGTGTGTGCGCGCGCTTCTTAGTTCTGTCCCTGAAAGAGCCTAACAGCAAGATAGCTCAGTAGCAAAGAGCCATCCTGGCACTGACCACCAACCATTCCTCCACTAAATAGAACGTGGGCTCCCTGGAGAAGTGGCCGGTTCCAGGGCTGAGGCTAAGGAGATCCCAGAGGAGCTTGGATCATCTTGTCATGTTAGAAGGTAAGAAAGTGTGCAAAAAGTGACAGGTACATGTTAAAAGGACACAGAAGCCAGTGACAAGGGGCTCCCACTGACCAAATATCAGGCCATTTGAACATCAAAATAAATAAGGACAATAATAAAACAAACCATTAAAAAAAAAACAGACATCCATGAGTGCATCCTGATATTGATGGATGGATGAATGAATGCACATATAAGTACATATATAAATACAGTAAGCAAGTGAATGGGAAAAAACAGAAAGCTCTTCCTTACATTGAAAAGCCAGTTCATGAATGTGGAGGGAATAGTGTGGTTGGCAAATAGCCGTTTTGCATCCAAAAGATTCAAGATTAGAATGTGCGAGAGACATCACAAAATACCAGTGGATGCTAAATCTAGGGTGTAAAGGTTTAATAAAGCATGGAGTATTAATAGGGCTTCAACGCACTTCCTTCAAAGAATTTACTTGTTAAATAAAAAAGTAAAAAGAATAATTATACTATGGAGAAAATGCATTACACCTTAACTGGGGAATCAAACTTGACCTCACCAATAAAGGGCAAATAGATGTGGCATGTCTCTCTGCAGGTGATAACCTGAGAGGGACACAATATTGCTTTTGTCAAATTCCAGCCAGGGATACATAACCTGAATATAATCAGGAGAAGACATCGGACAAACCCAGGGTGAGGAACACTCTATCAAATATATAAATACATATATTTTATATTAATAAAGTATAAAATACAACAATTCTACATAATTTTATATCATTAATATTTTAATATCTCCTCCTTTATATTGTATCATGATTTACTAAATACATTACAATTCCTATAATCTAATGTATTATAATACTGCCTATATTAGTACATAATATATGTATATTATGCTTACATAATATACTACATGTGCATATATTATGTATTTCTATTTTATATACTGTATATTTTTACATATTTCAATATTCTGTATTTACATACAATAGAGTTATACTATTTATACTTATACATTATAAAAATTTAATATAAAATATAAATAAGGAAGTTTAGAAAACATAAATTCTATAAATCATGGGTTATAAGTTATACAACACATATGTATTATAAATAATAATCATTTGAAATAACATATTACACATCAGTTGCAATGTTATAATAAATAACATGTAAACAGTTTATAATATACATACTAAATATAAGTTTTAAATTATATTTAAAGCTGTGAATTATATTATAGAAAGACAATGAAGACTGGTAACTGTTCCAAACTTGAGACTAAAGAGAAATATGACTAATGGCCTTGGTTTTAGAGAATATACAACTAAATTATTCAGATGTAAAGAGGCATGAATTATGCAACCTACTCTCAAATGTTTCAGAATACGAATAATATTTTTATATATTAAGGGGAAAAGAGGAAGAATGAGAAAACAAATGTGGTAAAATGTTAAAAATTGGTGAATCTGGGCAATGAGTATATGGTCATTATATTTTTGAGGTTCAAAATTTTTTTTTTAACTTGTTACTTAAGAAAGGGACTGAAGTGGAGGGAGAGTGGGGAACAGACAGCTATTTGTAAATCTTTGTGTTAGTCCACTACTACTTAAAATGTGCGAGCATTTCTCTTGATTTTTTTGAAATTCAAGAAATAAAACTGTAAAGGAAAAAAATGGGGTATGGTTCAAAGAATGCTTCTCACGAAGGCCATGTATGCGCTGGATCTTAAAGATGAATAAGAGCTCACAATGGGGGGCGCCTGGGTGGCTCAGTTGGTTGAGCGACTGCCTTCGGCTCAGGTCATGATCCTGGAGTCCCTGGATCGAGTCCCGCATCGGGCTTCCTGCTCGGCAGGGAGTCTGCTTCGTCCTCTGACCCTATCCCCTCTCAGGTGTTCTCTCTCTCTCATTCTCTCTCTCTCAAATAAATAAATAAAATCTTTAAAAAAAAAAAAAAAGAGTTCACAAGGGGAAGGAACAGGGTTGACATTTCAGGCACAGAAAACTGCATCACCCAAACCATCCAGGACCTGTAGTCCACTGTGTTAGAGAATCAATCATAATTAATAGCAGAAAATAGTGTTCTGGGAAATACACCTATAAATACTCTCATATAATGAGCACACTTTGCAGTTCTAAAGGAGGGGCAATGACACATGCATGTAGCTAGACCACCCAAGGTTTGAACACAGACTCCTTCTCTTGTGATTTGAGTGAGACTCAATTTTGTTATCTTTAATTTCTGGGATTTGGTTTTGTTATCTTTATTATTTTTTAAGATTTTATTTATTTATTTATTTGAGAGAGAGAGAGCACGAGCAGGGGAGAGGGGCAGAGGCAGAGGGATAAGCAGATTCCCCACTGAGCAGGGACCCGGAGGTGGGGCTCGATCCCAGGACCCTGAAATCACGACCTGAGCCAAAGGCAGATGCTTAACTGACTGAGCCACCCAGGTGCCCCCCATTTTGTTATCTTTAAAATGAGCATAACACCCCCACCACATGTTACTGTTGTGATTAATAAGATGATATATATGAAGTGCCCACTCAATGTGGGTGTCCTTTTTTCTTCCTTTTCCCTGCAGAGAAGGTGGGTGGGACTCAGTGCTGAGACAGGTTTTCTTGTGGGGCTTATAGAAATCATCTTTTTATATTAAGGCTTATATGTATGATATTTTAATTTAACTTTATTAGATAATCAAATATATTAGTTAAAAATATAAATAGGAGATAATTTAATTATATACTTGCATAGGGATTGACAGCAAGTCACATACTGAGCAAAATTCTAGTCCAGTCTACACCAAGAGAAACCTGGATATGGCTAAAGAATTTCACGAGCAGTAGAGTTAAAAGGTATTAGCTGATGTGGATGCCTGGACCACACACTGTTTATTGATCCATTAATCTATAAGGAGTGTGACTGCCAAATCAGGAAGACTGCCCGACTCAAGGGAGGTAGGCAATGACAATACGGTGTCACCTCAGTGTCAAGAACCAGCTCAGACTCACAGTCAGGAAAGCAACAATTGCACACGGATCGCTTGTGAGCCCAGATCTGCTCCGTCTGCACAACAGCGTCTCGGAGCATGGAGCTCAGCATCACCTGCAAGGCCCCCGAAAGGTGAAACAGAGAGTCCAGCTCGCTAGCAACATCTTAGGATAAGGCCACACGTCTGGGCCCAGAGGGACACTCATCATGGCACAACTGGTGTGGCCAACTCACACAACAGCAAGACTTGCAAGCTGATACTGGGTGTAGCAAGTTGGAAGGAGGCAGTCACAAGCTAGGCAAGCATAACTAATGTGCTAAAGGCGCCTGAAGCCTCCTTCTCAGATTGCAGCCAGTTTGTGCAGCCGGAAAGCCCGCTGGACGTGCCCTGATAGAAAGAATGTAGCATTCCTCGGAGCAGAAGCTCAGAGGGTGGGTTGAAATGTTAGTGCTGACACTGAGAGACTGAACACGTACTCGATGTCCCTGTTGAGCTGGGGTCTCTGGGGCAAGGGGGTTAGAGGTCTTAAAAACAAGGTGCTTGTCATCAACTACTGTATGTCTGGACCAACCATTCACTTTCACTGCAATTCAGTTAGTATCATCATGTTCAGTAACGGCATGATTTATTCCACTCAACAAACATTTCCCAAGGACCTCCTCTGTGCCGGATACTGTGCCAGATGGAGGAGTATGCCCTGCCGAGAGGCGTTTAACATCCGGGGGTTGGGGGGAAGGGGGTCAAAGGAGGGTATTAATACGATACAAGGGAGCCGCGTGTATCATAAAGAGGAGAAATAATTGCCATGAGAAGAATGGAGGGATTGACTTTGCAGAATCTGGAAGGCTTCATGGAAAGGCTGGTGTTATACACTAAAACCTAAAGGACAAGCAAGGAGGGCTCAGTAAGCTCAAGACAGGGGAATGTGAATCCGGGACCCGAGAAGGACCACAGAAGCATTCCAAGCAGAGGAAGGCGCAGTCTGAAAACACAGGAGGTGTTTCTGGAAGGGAAGGCATAAAGTGATGAGAGCATGAAGTAATAAGCAAATGAAAGGGGACAGGAGTGAGCAAATATGGGATGTTAAGTTGGAGCTCCCGGGGCTTGATTCTAAGACAACATAGGCTGAACTGTAGGATGCCGGGAAGTACAAAGGACTTAGCCAAAAATACATGCAGATGGATAGCATGCATTTCTGCCTCAAGCTGCAGGTTTTCCTCACCAAAAGGATGGTTTTTACCTGGGAACTGAATCCTGTAACACAAACTCAAAGGATGGTAAAAATGAGAAAACTTCACTGGGTAGCATTCAAACAATGTAACAATCAGATCTAAGTCCTAGCAAGCTTAACAGAATCACATGTGAAAAATACCAATTAATTTAATTTGCCCCCCAAACTTCTTATTTCTTAGCAGACCATTCATAGGATTTGCATAAAGTATACCATATGTACCAAGTTATTGATTGTTCCCTCTGCACGAATGAGTCCCATTAGTGTCAGACAGGGCCAGGAAACACACACTTCACATGCAACAGCTGAAAGCCAGGCTGACTGATTAGATCATGACCAATTCTCTCCTACGTGCTCTTGTCCCAGTTCTGGAAATGGTGACCTTAACCCTCAACTCCATGTGTCAGTATTTCCTGTTCTTGCTTTTGACTTGACAGAAGTGCCTTCCAACCAATAATGTTTCTATGATGATTGCTAAGTTTCCATTCCCACCGGGGAATTACAATGATTTTCCCCATTTTCCCAATTTCTCTGCTTATTTTTCTGATGATTCAGAAAATATACTGTCAGAAAACCCTTCGAAGAGTCACAAGGTCTTCAATGAGGAAAGGTCTGGGTCATTGTCATTGCCATACCTCCTGCACTTTAATACTTGTTGAAAGATTGAGTAAATCAATGAATTTGTTCCTCATACTTAAATTGGAGATAATTTTTTTATGACAACATATTGCTTTATCTTGTATGTATTTATGTGCATGTTCTTTGGCTTTTTTAGGAGCTTGTGAACAAATTATGGGTAGGGACCCCTTATCCACCCACATGCCCTCCCGGCACCTAGCAGTGCCTACACCAAGCAAGTATTCATTTACTATATGTTGATTACATAATTAAGGAAACAAATCCTTAATCATACCAACATGTTTAAGCAGAACCCTTCCCTCAAAAAATGTTAATTCTCCATCCTTCCTGGGATTACTTATGGTCCTGATTTTCTTCTTATTTAGCAAAGGGGAGATATATCCCTCTGACTCCCTCTCCAGCCACACTTATCATCTATTATTCTTTTCTTTTTTAATAATTTATCACTAAGTCTTCTATAACACAATGGTTTTTTTCCCCTATCTCTCTGTCTTCTTCCTTAGAAACCTAAACTAATACCTGTAATTGAATGATGGTCTCCTATTTACTTCCTAGTATAGATTGTTACGTAAGTCAAATTTCTTCACCTCCTTCTTACACTTCTCTCATTCCTTGTGAATGCAAACAGTTTCTCTAAAATTTTTCCCTAAATGTCCAGCTCTCAGACTCCTTTGTCCCTATAATTATGATATCATGGATTTTTTTTTTTATAATTAGCTTGTTGAAACCTTTTCTTAAAGGTCACTTTGCTAACAGGATTTTTCCTTTTTCTTAGAATTCGACCAAACTCTACCAGCTCATGATCCCACTGTCCAAGGTTACCTGCTCTCCCTCTTTACAAGCATAGAATTAAGACTGTTATTGTCCTACTCCTTTATTCTTCCGTGGAAAAATTTTCCCCAAGACACTCTAAGCACATATTTTCCACTGTACTTTGACCCGGCATCATATATTCTATATGGCTAGGAGTAGTAGTCCTTGATTATTTCTCTTCAGGTGACATCAAAAAAGAATATTAAAAACTTAGGTATCTCTCTCATCTTTTAAAATACTTGAAAGAATCTAACTTAATAAAGCCATAATATTACTGTTTTAAATGTACCAAATGGAATCTGAAATGTGCCACCGCGATTTGAAGCTTGTTATTTTCCATTTACACAAACGTGAACAGGCTCTTCTTTAAATGACAGACATTTCACACCCATTCCCCTTGAACTCTTATTTCTATTTTATTTCCCCCTGAGCATTGTTTCTTAACGTATTGTGTAGTCATGCTTAAAAATATTCTACTTATCATCTTCTCTCTCTGTAATAAAAATACATATATAAAGTTACCTCACTAAGTTACCCCACCTAGTATTAATACACAATTGCTCAATACATCATAAATTAGAAAAAATGATAAATAGCTCTCAGATATAAAAATACACTTCTTAATAACAGGTTTAGCAAGTTTTTCTTTTTTCTTTTTAAAGATTTATTTGAGAGAGAGAGTATGAGCGGGAGAGGCAGAGGAAGAGAGAGAATCTCAAGCAGATTCCCCACCAAGCACAGAGCCCGATGAGGGGCTCGATCCCATGACCCTGAGACCATGACCGGAGCTGAAATCAAGAGCTGGACACTTCACCAACTGAGCCACCCAGACGCCCCACGTTTCTTTTCAGTAAGTGCAATTATTGACGGAATATTACTTTAGGTTAGAATAAGAAAGCATACCGTATCAGTTCCATCCTAGCTTTCATCTTTACAGAAATGTTCACATAAATAAGTGAAACAGAAGTAGCTATGTTATAGCAGTGACTTAATTCTTTGAACACTAAGGTCATCTGCAAAATCATAGTGATCCATCATATTACATAATGTTTAATGATCTACCAGCCCGACAACTCAATCAGATCCTCCTTTAATTTGGTTGGAAGCAAATAATTTCAGCATACCCATCATGAGAGTTACCTATCATTAGAGTCATTCACTTTCATGGTTTCTCAGCACTATAGCAAAAATGGCTTCACCGAGACTTTCCAAAGGACTATTACTTATAGTCTTCCACTTAGAGGGACCTTTTCAGTCTAAAATACTCAAAAAAGGCCTGGGAAATTGACCTTAATATAATTTTTTTATAGAATGATTTTTTTTCTTTGTCACTCACTCCAAATATATTCGTTTCAAAACCTTGGGCTTACAGATGTAGAATACTGTTTGTAGAAAAGGTCCATCATGTAGCCTAACTGGCAAAACCAGTCCTCATTACAAAATCAATTGGCCAAATCAGGCTTCTTGTCTCGGTCCAAATGAACATATTATGATACATCCCCATGACAACCATCTCACTTCTGAATTCAGAAGATTAACACAGATCACCATACCCCACTTCTAATGCCACACTCCATTCTTCACAGAAATACGTGTAAGACAAAAAGCAATATGAAGCCCCACTCCAGGTCTGTGATGCCTCAATTGAAGGAGGCTTTGCTGACACCAATATATTAAATTGTTTCTTTTCTTTTTTTTTTTTAAAGATTTTATTTATTTATTCATGACAGACAGAGAGAGAGAGAGAGGCAGAGGGAGAAGCAGGCTCCCGAGGAGCAGGGAGCCCGATGCGGGACTCGATCCCAGGACCCTGAGATCATGACCTGAGCCGAAGGCAGACGCTTAACCATCTGAGCCACCCAGGTGCCCTATTAAATTGTTTCTTAAAACAGTACCTCAGAGATGTGGACACCTGGGGCATAGTAAAATTCTCATGTAGGTGAGACATCCCTTTTTATTTTTCAATGAGACGACAACTGGAAGGGGAGGAGGGAGAGGAGAACCAACTTGACACCCTGACCCTGTGTGTGTTCTCAGAGAAACTATAGGCAAGTGTCCAGAAGCAAGCTGAGGCTCTGGAAATGATTCTTTTAAAGCTGTGGGGCCCACGGACCCCTTGGAAAGTCTTCGTCTGCCCCTAGCAATACGGACAAAATAAACCAACTGTGGTTACTAAGCCGTGAAACAGGGTAACTTGATAAATGCCTTCTCAGTGCATGATTAAGTCCATATTTCAAAGAGGACCACAAATCTGAACTACCTATACTTTTTAAATAAATTTTGCATCACCCACCAAATAACTACACTTCACATGAAATAACCTGGAAACCTAATTCTAAGTCCCTATTGTAAGTCTGTCTTTCTACCCTGAAGTATGTCAGTCTAACTTTTTAGCCCTCCCCTCGCACTCACCGTTCGGCACCATAAATATTATAAACATAAAGCAGAGAGAGAAAAGGTAAAATACAAATGTAGAGCAGGAACAATGCCTCAGCACAATAAGTACCTCAAAATGCCCTGTGCTGTTTAAAACACATTAGAACTTAAATTTTCTTCAAATAAAGAATTGTGGCCGTTTATTACGACACGTAATAATAACAGTGGTTATTTGGAAAAGCAGTTAAATCGTGGAGGCCATGTGAACATTCAAAAAGACAAGTTGTCAAGCAGAATGATTTATATATAACGATTAACACTTCAGTGAAGCTCTGAATTCACGTGGTTTTGAAAGAGGGGGGGAGATCTGTTTAGCTTTTTTTCCTTAGTTCCTTGTTTCACGGAGGTCCAATGATACTCACCGCCTCTGTGTGAATAGGATGCACAGCAAAAAGCAACGCTGTAGCAAAAGCAAGTCCCCGGTTCCTGAAGACAGCTTTGTCACAGGTGTACATCAGGACAAGAGTCACAAGACAGTGTAAAATCACATTCACCGCATGAAAGTAGAATGGGTTCATGCCAGTCAAAAATATGTTCAGCCTGTACAAAAAAGACAGAAACAGAAGCCGAATCAGCTACAAACAGAACAGAAGCACAAGGAGAGAGGAGGGGATCGATCATTTCAAAAGATAAGCTATTCAATCAATTATTTTTATTTTATTTTTTAAAAAATATTTTATTTATTTATTTGACAGAGAGAGACACAGCGAGAGAGGGAACACAAGCAGGGGGAGTGGGAGAGGGAGAAGCAGGCTTCCCGCTGAGCAGGGAGCCCAACGCGGGGCTCGATCCCAGGACCCTGGGATCATAACCTGAGCCGAAAGGCAGACGCTTAACGACTGAGCCACCCAGGTGCCCCTCAATCAATTATTTTTAAATGACTCCCAACATCAGGTTACTCTAGATGGGTGAGTATCGTTTGTCCCCATCTCAGGATTTTCCTATCTGTAGAAACCATGGCAAATGCAATACAATTTTATTTCAGAGAACTCTGTGGCCTCACTGAGAAGGCAGGCAGATAGGTGCTGAACCTGTTTTCCCTTCAGCCCGTGGCTCATGTGAACGACCCCATGATACTCTTGCTTTCATTGCCAGCTCTTCCCAGGAGCTGAGCATTTAAAGGCTAGTCCACAGCGCTGTGGGTCAGAGCCGCAACCACTGGAGAGGAGAAAAAAGCCACAAGACTGAGACTGTGGTCACAATTGGGACAAACCAAGCATGAACGTGTTCTCTCACCCACAGTGCCCACCAGGAACCAAATTTCCAGATTATGCACCTGGAATGATCGTTAATTACCACCCCACAAGGGATCTTCCGGTCATCTGAAGAGGCTATTACCAGCTGCATCTGAAATTAAAAGGATGAGCAAAAGCACATCATTTCAGAATCTGTATTAAATGTTTTCTTTTTCTTTTTTTTAAGATTTTATTTATTTATTTGAGAGGGAGAATGAGAGAGAGAGAGAGAGAGAGCATGAGAAGGGGGAGGGTCAGAGGGAGAAGCAGACCCCCCGCCGAGCAGGGAGCCCGATGTGGGACTCGATCCCGGGACTCCAGGATCATGACCTGAGCCGAAGGCAGTTGCCCAACCAACTGAGCCACCCAGGCGCCCCTGTATTAAATGTTTTCTAACATAAATTCCCACAGACCTCAAAATCTGAATTCTAAGATTATGATGAAGAAACTAAAGAGAATCACAGAAAGAAGGGAAATTTATGGGGTACCAGGGTGACTCAGTCGGTTAAAGCGTCCAACTCCTCGTTTCAGCTCAGGTCATGATCTCAGGATCGTGGAGTCTGCTTAAGATTCTCTCTCTCCCTAGGGGTGCCTGGGTGGCTCAGTTGGTTAAGCGACTGCCTTCGGCTCAGGTCATGATCCTGGAGTCCCGGGATCGAGTCCCGCATCAGGCTCCCTGCTCGGCAGGGAGTCTGCTTCTCCCTCTGACCCTCCCCACTCTCATGTGCTCTCTCTCATTCTCTCTCTCTCAAATAAATAAATAAAATCTTTAAAAAAAAAAAAAGATTCTCTCTCTCCCTCTCCCTCTGCACCCCCCACTCCATTCGCATGCTCTCTCTCTCCCTCCCTCTAAAAAGAAAAAAAAAGAGAGAGAAATTTCTTGTTCAACATCTTAAAAAATACTTTCCTGAGACAGAAATGCAGAACAGAGAGACTTAAGGATGCCTTAAATTTAATAACAGGACATAATGTCCCCAATTGATTCTGTGGGGTTAGCAAAAATAGTTGTATAGGGTGTGATTCTTTTGGGGGAGCATATACACCCTAAGTGAGACTGCCTGTAGTTGTCTATACTCCCGCTCATTTTACTGAAACAGGAATCCCATGTCTTTATTCTCATGTCCTTGATCTGCTTGTCTTACACAAACACCTCCTCTCTGCCAAAACAATTGAGAATGTAAAAGTCAACTTCAGCGATGGCATAAGCATATTCTAAATACTTGACTTGATTCATGCAGGAATTTAACCTACAGAATTTTAAACATCTCAAGCTTTATTTGGACACATGAATATAAATGTCATAGTTACTAATTGACTCCATTTTCATTCCCACTGAAGTAATCATGGTCCTAACCAAGCCTAGAAAAATGAATTGCTTTGTGGAATCCAATTTCAGGCCTTTGAAGCAAGACTGGAGCGAGCTGTATGTTGGCCAACCCACGAGTCTGCACACAGCCCCAGAGTCCTGAAGACCCGAGTGTGGTGTGAAACAGCCCATCTAGAGGGAAAGAGGAATGTGCCGTGAACTAGGGGGCAGGCAGTGCAGCTAAAAAAGGGAGAAGAGCATCCCATTCCAGTACAGGAGGACCCACCTCTGGTGAGCGAGCTGCTGGAAATCACAAAGCTTGGGTTGGGGGAGCTCTGAGAAGGGCAAGACCAGGTCCCTATCCTTGAAGAACTCAGGCGCGATTCCTAGAAAGCCCATCCCCCTGAGGCTGATTTTACATCACCATCTACTCCATCAGGCTAAGCTTTCCAGACCAACTAAACCATTCATTTCAAGTTCACCCATGACAATGAGATAAAATAGGTAATCTTACAACCAGTTGGTGAGCGTCAGAGTGGGAAGGTCTCCAGGATCAACGTGCACCAAAAGGCTTTAAGAAGTACATAACCATTGACCAAAAATACCACTTCTAGGAATTTTCCAAAAGGAAATAACCAGAAAAGAGTTCAAAGATAGATACAGATAGATATAGACACAGGTACAGATATGGATAGAGATGTAAACAGAGATAACGTTGTGATATAATAAGAAATACATATTTTGGTCTTTATCCCAACTCCTGGTAGAGATTCTAAAAACTCCGTGATTTCTTTTTTTTTTTTTAATTTTTATTATGTTATGTTAGTCACCATACAATACATCATTAGTTTTTGATGTGGTGATCCACGATCCATTGTTTTCGTATAACACCCAGTGCTCCATGCAGTACATGCCCTCCTTAATACCCATCACTGGGCTAACCCATCCCCCTACCCCCCTCCTCTCTAAAACCCTCAGTTTGTTTCTCAGAGTCCATAGTCTCTCATGGTTCATCTCCCCTTCCGATTCCCCCCTTCCTTTTTCCCTTCCTTCTCCTAATGTCCTCCATGCTATTCCTTATGTTCCACAAATAAGTGAAACCATATGATAATTGACTTTCTCTGCTTGACTTATTTCACTTAGCATAATCTCCTCCAGTCCCATCCATGTTGATGTAAAAGTTGGGTATTCATCCTTTCTGATGGCTGAGTAATATTCCATTGTATATATGGACCACATCTTATTTATCCATTCATCTGTTGAAGGGCATCTCGGCTCTTTCCACAGTTTGGCTATTGCAGACATTGCTGCTATGAACATTGGGGTGTATATGGCCCTTCTTTTCACTACATCTGTGTCTTTGGGGTAAATACCCAGGAGTGCAATTGCTGGGTCATAGGGTAGCTCTATTTTTAAATTTTTGAGGAACCTCCACACTGTTTTCCAAAGTGGCTGTACTAACTTGCATTCCCACCAACAGTGTAAGAGGGTTCCCCTTTCTCCACAACCTCTCCAACATTTGTTGTTTCTTTCCCTGTCCATTTTTGCCATTCTGACTGGTGTAAGATGGTATCTCAATGTGGTTTTGATTTGAATTTCCCTGATGGCTAATGATGATGAACATTTTTCATGTGTCTGTTAGCCATTTGTATGTCTTCTTCAGAGAAGTGTCTGTTCATCTCTTCTGCCCACTTTTTGACTTGATTATTTGTTTTTTGGGTGTTGAGTTTGAGAAGTTCTTTATAGATCTTGGATACCAGCCCTTTATCTGTAGTGCCATTTGCAAATATCTTCTTCCATTCTGTGGGTTGCCTCTTTGTTTTGTTGACTGTTTCCTTTGCTGTGCAGAAGCTTTTTATCTTGATGAAGTCCCAAAAGTTCATTTTTGCTTTTGTTTCACTAGCTTTTGGAGATGTATCTTGAAAGAAGTTGCTGTGGCCGATGCCAAAGAGGTTACTGCCTATGTTCTCCTCTAGGATTTTGATGGATTCCTGTCTCACATTGAGGTCTTTCATCCATTTTTAGCTTATCTTTGTGTATGGTGTTAGAGAATGGTCGAGTTTCATTCTTCTGCATGTGGCTGTCCAATTTTCCCAGCACCATTTATTGAAGAGACTTTTTTCCATTGCATGTTTTTTCCTGCTTTGTCGAAGATTATTTGACCATAGAGTTGAGGGTCCATATCTGGGTTCTCTATTCTGTTCCACTGGTCTGTATGTCTGTTTTTGTGCCAGTACCATGCTGTCTTGGTGATCACAGCTTTGTAATATAGCTTGAAATTGGGCACTGTGATGCCCCTAGCTTTGTTTTTCTTTTTCAACATTTCCTTGGCAATTTGGGGTCTTTTCTACACCTTAAAGAACTAGAGAAAAAGCAACAAACGATGCCTAAGCCATGCATTAGAAGAGAAATAATTAAGATTAGAGCAGAAATCAATGAATTAGAAACCAGAAACACAATAGATCAGATCAACGAAACTAGAAGTTGGTTCTCTGAAAGAATTAATAAGATCGATAAACCACTGGCCAGACTTATCCAAAAGAAGAGACAAAGGACCCAAATTAATAAAATTATGAATGAAAGGGGAGAGATCACGACTAACACCAAGGAAATAGAAAACAATTAATAGAAATTATTATCAACAACTATATGCCAATAAACGGAGCAGTCTGGATGAAATGGAGGCCTTCCTGGAAACCTATAAGCTGCCAAGACTGAAACAGGAAGAAACTGACAACCTGAATAGGCCAATAACCAGTAACGAGATTGAAGCAGTGATCAAAAACCTCCCCAAAAACAAGAGTCCAGGGCCTGGTGGATTCCCTGGGGAATTCTACCAAACATTCAAAGAAGAAATAATATCTATTCTCCTGAAGCTGTTTAAAAAAATAGAAACAGAAGGAAAACTTCCAGACTCATTCTGTGAAGCCAGCATTACCTTAATCCCCAAACCAGACAAAGACCCCATCAAAAAGGAGAATTTCAGACCGATATCCCTG